ACCCATTCACCCACCACACATTACTACGCTCAACACCAAGCATATTCTCCATGTCAATCAGCCACTTTCGCAAATTGCAACTTACCCTGCAAGCATTCTCAAACACATGCCAAAATATTTCGTTTGCCCTGTCATTCTGTTAGCGAGTACCTTAGCGCAGCCAGTTGTTCCAACTCATAGATATCTTTGGTGTAAATCCACATTGGTAGAACATTATGGGAGATAGGAACTAATTTAATTGACCTCTTCGGTCCAACTGGCATTCCACCACCGGTATTAGGCATTGCCATTTTCAGACCAGTTATTAAAGTACCTGCTCAAATCATAACGAATACTAGGATACAACATATCGAAATTGATTTCAAGGTGTTTAACACCGAAGTGTTGTTCCATTGCTACTTCAATTGAGGTAGCGTAAAATGATCCTGGATCAGTTGATTAGAGTACCAACTTATCTAATCAGCAGGAGGCTACTATTGTATCCGTTCGAGAGCATGGAAATGTAAAACGAAGTTGAGTGTCTTTTGCTGTGAACGATAACTGCAATGTCCAAGTGGTGCGGTCAAGCTTCAACGCGATGTTTATTTTGAGGTGCATGATTTTTGAATATAGTGGCAATCTTGCTAAGCCTTTTACAAGAATTTGCATTGCGTACACCACGTTTTGTGGCAGCACCACTGAAATGTGTAAATTAGCATACTGTCCTTGCCTCACCATACTTCAGGCAACATGTATTTCTAGACTGCATCAAATGATGGCAGCATTAAACTATTGTGAGAGAAGCTCAGTTAACGAGAAGGGGATCACTCTCTTCATCTGCCACCTTCTGCACAGCTTTACTGAAGCACATCTACACCAGCTATTTCCACCAGTTAAAACAATTTTCACGGTTAGAATATGCGTTGAGAGATCCACTAGGAAACCCATTGTTTTGCTCTGCACCCGAGTTTAATGATGTAGCACTTTTCAAATTTTCGTATTTGACCCAAGTGTGGCTGTCCCTTTTCTTAGGTTCTTTTAGTTACTGTAATCTCAAAGATCACATAGTGGCATCACAGCTGTGCGTGGTTACGCTGCTAGAGCTAAACACCTCAGCTTTGCTCTAAACCGTTCAAAAGTAAGCAACACTGAAAGGGACTACCTACTTGCTAGAATTTGCATGTATGCACTTATTACAACAACTCTAGTCAACTTGGCTTTGCAATGTGATCAAATGTTTGAGCATTGGGTATGGAGAGGTCGGTGCTGCACTCTATGTTGATTTACTTAATGCGCACACTGATGGTGAAAACAAACTTAAAGTAAAGTCTTAAGCACGTCCATTAATTTACATTTGCATACAAGAGTGTGATTTGGGCTTTATTAGTTAGCGTCCTAACGCTTCTAAGTAGCAAACAGTAATATATCGTCAAATTTTCATGGCTATTACTTCCTTCGTTTCCGGCCTTCTTTTTGAAAACCTGAGGCAAACACGACTAAAGATCTTCAATTGCTTGAACATATTACACCTGTATTCATGATTACGCTCCCACTGAAAGCCTACAGAAGGCTGGCCGTCCAATCACGCTATTATTGCTGACACTAACTCCCAGCCAATCGTGTCATTTAGCGCATCACATCAAACAAAACACCTCCTTCTGATTGGTCTGTGCAGTTACTCACGCCAGCCATGCTTCTCAGTGCACCAACAAAAGGACAAGACTTACTGATTTGTTGATGCAACCAGTGCCTCATCGAACAAACAGCTTTCTGAATGTAACTGTGCAGTGGTAACGATTGGAGGGAAATGTTTTCTTCAACAGAAGAGCCGATGCTGCCCTAACCCACCCTCGGTAAGGATTTTGGCTAGCGAAGAAAAGCACATAATGGGACGCTATTAATAAAAGCTTGGGAAGCGAAAGGGAAATCTGGTTAGAGTCAGTAGTCACCGCTGTAATCATAGCATTGGAGGCTGTATCGAGGCCATGTATTTTTGCTATCTCATCAAATGAGACAACTGCCTTCTGTACTGTCGGATCGGGGCCGGCTCTCTCTGGCCTTAATATAGGGTGAGATTCAAAAACAAATTTGAGAGACAAAACAGCCCAAGTAGGAACTCACAACCGCTTCTACTTCTTGTAATTCTATTCAAGCAATGTCAATGACAGAAATAACAATTAATCGTAAGTCATGAGTGAGGACTTACTTACCACAACGATTGGACATCATTCTTCCATGACGTCGTCCTTTACACATCATTAACTTATTATTGCCCACATCATTTGGAAGGAAGCAAATTGAGTTGAGATGAGGAATTGCTAGTACAAAATTGCTTCTCTTCTACAGACGACTGTTGAGGGAGGGGGGCCAATTAAGTGTTTGGAGCACATTAGGCAAAGAATGTCCACCGTTTGCATGAGTTTTGGGGGGTGTCTTAAGGGTCACAAATGTTATTAAAGTAAGTTGCTCTCTTTGACCTGTCAAAAATGATCATGTTCAAGCTGACGGTGTTCACGTCTAACTACACCGATATGAGGCTAATTTACTGCGTCTTTGCACATTTGCATTGGCAAAGTGTGACCTTTAGAAAGGGAACATGTTAACAGGTACTTAAAGAACTA